ATTAACTCATATAAAATGTACATATATACATAAACGTATAGAAATAAAGTATAACAAACATCTGTTAAGTTTAAATCTTTATCTTATATGGCATCTACACTGGCCTCAATTGGCTCATTTCGGACACAAATCACAAATGAGAAGCAAATGAGACAATTTTGCATACAAAATCTCAAGCGCAAATGATATCCATTGGATCTCATTATGTATAAATGAGTTCCAACGAGGTTAGAATGAGTTCCAAAGATGTTCCAAATGCAATTGAATACATTAAACATACCGTAAATAAAAGCTTTTCATGGCATTTTGACAATTTGAGGAAGCTATTTTTGACATATTTACAAAAAAAGGTAAACAAATGTTGGGTGGTTGCATTTCCTTGAAAACGATGCACCTCTTTTTGGAACTTCTACTTCCCAAAACTAAATTAATCGAAGCTGAAAATAAGTTTTCAGTTTGTATTGTAAGGTTTGAAGGTATATTTAAACTTCATTCGACATTTTTTTGGCCTCGGCCAAAGATCAAATCAATAGGCAAGTTGAAAAATCAGCTGTTTGAAATGAGAAGAAATGAATTAAAACGAATGTGAACACTTTCAAATGACGCATTTGAAATGAATCATTTGAGGCTAGTGTAAACGCCATATTATACTCAAAACTTAAAACAAAATCACATTTCTTAAGTATGCCATTTATACTTATGATCTGTTTGGAGTATGGGGTAACGTATGCAGTTATTAACGCTTAACCATATATAAAACTCCAACTGATAAGTCCGTATAATGATCAACAAAATAACGATTTTTTAATAAAACTTGACGACTTCATTCATTCAATACAATGATTCCTGCGTTTGTCTAATATTCGACACCGGTCTTGTGGAATAAATATGGAATATGGCTTAAAAATTCTTTAAAAAAATTAAAAGCCAAATGTTTATAAACCCGGAGTTAATTTCTGCAAAGATCAAAATGTTCACGTGGTGATAGATACGTGGTGATTTGGAGCGATCACTTCTCTAACCTACTGAATACTAAATTATACCAAAACTTTAAACCATTATTTTAGATTATTTTAATAGGTATAAAAAAATATAATTATAATAAATGAATATATTTTTTACAGCATAGAAGCACAAACAGTATTATTAGCTGAACTGAATTCCAAAATAGAAAATCAACCAATTTGGGGTAGGGAAAGAGGTAAATTATATATTATATTAAAATAAATTTTTTTTCTAAAAAAATATTTATAAGATCCTCCTATAGATATACGTTTTGGTGTTGATTCTACAGAAGACAACAATAAAAACAGCCACAACAATAAGTTTAAAAATATAACTTGGTAAGACTTACAGAACATATTTATATATATTGTATATAGTATCTTTGAGCATTTCTAACAAAAACAACTCACAAATTAGTGCGCCAAAATTGCCCAGTAGTTGCAGTGAAGCTGCCGCGATTACACGTAAAAGTGGACTCTACACCATCCAAGTTGACAATTTTGGTCTTAAACCATTTTTGGTTAATTGTGACGAAACTGAAAAAGATGGTGGTTGGCTCTTAATACAAAGACGTATAGATGGTTCCATTGACTTTGAACGCAATTGGGCGGCATTCAAAGAGGGTTTCGGTAATTTAGATGGTGAATTTTTTATTGGTTTGGATAAACTGCATGCATTGACAACAAATTCAGCACAAGAGTTACTTATAGTTATGGAAGATTTCGAAAGTGCAAGTAAATTTGCAAAATACTCATCTTTTGCTATTGGAGATGAAAGTGAAAAATATGCTTTGAAAGTACTTGGTACTTATTCGGGTGATGCTGGTGACTCATTAACACCGCATGCCTCTTTTAAATTCACCACAAAGGATATGGATAACGATAATTGGGATGGTAATTGTGCAGCGCAGTATACGGGGGCTTGGTGGCATAATAAATGTCACGTAAGGTTTGTAAATAAATAACGTTTCTTGAAAGAGACATAAAATAACCATTAATCGCAATCTTTATTTCAGCAATCTTAATGGTAAATATATGCGTGGTGCTTATGGTCAGGAGAAATTTGCTCAAGGGATAGTCTGGCATACTTTCCGCGGATATAATTATGCTCTCAAAACAGTCAAAATGATGATAAGACCACAAAGAAAATGAAATTTGAATAAGAAAAGTGAATACTCAAAATAGTTACTATTAATTAATTGAAATTAGAATTTAATATTAATTTAATTATAATATTTTTAATTTTTCTTTTAGTCATAATAATAATAAGTTTTTAAATAATATGCAATAAATCTTTTTATTTATTTTATTTATTAACACTGTAAAAATCATCATTGTAACCATCATCATATCATCATTATCATTATTATCATCATCATTATCCGCATCATTATTATCATCATTGTCACCATCATCATCATCATAATTGTCACCATCATCATCATCTTCATCATCACCATCAACGTTGTCACCATCATCATTATAATCATCCTCATTATCATCATCATCCTTGCTTAGTTATAACAACCCGTTGTGGACCAAAACTTCCTTTGCGGAATATCCATCAATTGTGTTGATCTCCTGATTGGTACATTCTAATCTACTTCTATTGTATTTAGTCATCGATACCGCCTTCTTCATCTTGCGCTGTAATAATATCATTGTGCTTTAATCGACACCAAAGACGATAGTTTTATTGTTGGTGCAACTCTACTATATAATAAATTTTCAAAATATCGGTCTTAAAAATTTAAACTTTTTATATAAATAATCTAAAAAAAAAACTGGAAGCACCAGATATCGGAACTTATCACACCCATGACGTGTATAGCTTTGATTTATATTATGAAGATAAACAAACTCAAACCTTAATATGTCAAAAACTAAACCATTTCAGCAGAAAGCGCTATAGGTTTACTAAAACCAATTGTCCAAATGACATACCTGGATATAAGTAATTTTTTTTAGAATTTCAGTGATCCCTCAGAGATTCTACACTATAGTGGTTGTGTTAATAATAAACCAACAGTATCGAAAAAGATCAAGATTTGTGTCTTTCTTTCCGGTACAAATTTAATGCAAGTAGTCCTTTTACATATTAACAAAAATTATAATATAAACAGGCAACTCTCATAAAAATGCAAACGACTTAAAATAAAATGTTGCTAATGTTTTGCACGTAACTGTTGAGTGTTGACTCTGTTTTTGTTTGAGTTACCATTTGGAGTTTTAATTTGGCTTTGATGTCGCTTTATTTAGCCCACGTATGCAAACGAATTCGCATTTTGCATTTTAATGTGGTTAATTCTTGCAAGTTCAGTGTTGACAATGTCCATTGGTGGCACATTAATGCAATTATTTTAATTTATATATTGTTTATCGTATCGTTGAGATTTTGTATACGTGCAGTAGTCATATAGCCAAATAATTTTACCGCTGACAGTTGTCATAATTTTATTGCCAATTTAACAGGCGGTAAAATTTAAATATTTAAAGCAACTTCATATCTTTTCGTGTTGTCATACATTTTTGCAATATTAATTTTTTTTTAAGGACTGAGCACTTGCAACGGGAGTATAGTAAAAAATTGCATCTCACAGGTTATATCCCCTACATTTTCCATGCACAAGTTAACAGTACTTTATAACCCAAGACTACTGTTATAACATCACCCTTAATTGATTATTTCTTATTGATGCAATCTAAAGGTGATAGAAGCACAGGCTTTCGGTGAGTGAAATTCATTAGCGTTGGTACACAAGGCACTTTAGGAGTCAAAACAAGCATTGTCACAACGATCCAGATAAATCTGTAGAATACTAATGGAACACCGACTAAATTAGCAGAATTACCAAAGCGAAAATGTCACCCTTGCACGCACATAGAATATATAAGTTGTTCATGGTCACACTTAATACGAAATCAGATGAGCTGCTATATGACTAATCGATAGCACTACCACGCACAACTGTACTATATCTTCCGTTAATTAATCCATTTCATTTCAATTAATTTTATATTTGGTGACCTAGCAGCAATCCTGGTGATGTTTCCAACTTTATAGAAAACCACCGATATAATAATTGGGCGTACCTACTTTTCCAGTAAAAATTTCATGATAAAATCCGAAGGAAATTAGTAAGGTAGGGAGGAACGAACAACAAATTTAAACATTTACTATATTCTTTATAAAAATCTGTGCGAATTTGTCAATAAGGCCTGGCTCAAGACACAGAGTGCATCCATACATTGTAAAAGTGGTCACAACAAGTGGCAAATAGGGTAAGACTAAGTCTAAGTTATCCAATCCAAATCCATATCCAAAAACAGTATCACTATGGGAAACAGAATCAGGCTAATTGAGCCTTAACTTTTATTTACCTTAGGCAACTGAAGAATGTGTGTTAGCACAAAATTTAGAGAATCGATAAGATCCATTAATAAGTGATGTTATAAAATTAATGATTACACACCCTTATGAGTTGGAAACGTTAATTCATCGAGTGTACAAAATAACTTCAATTAATGCTATTAATATTATCGTAAACCTTATTCTCATCATATCTTCAGATTAACTGGTCTTATTCAAATACTTCTAACATGTAACACATGCTAATATAACAAGAGGCATATATATTCAATAAACTAAAATAATTTTCACAAATACTGGGATTTAGTATTACTGGCGACCCAGTATATACATATTACATTCGATATCCAAGAAGCTTTTAAAAAAGGTCTCATGCGACTTTAACTTCGTAATATTACACTATAAAGCCCTTGTTAAGTAAGACTTAATCAAAACTAGAATTCTATTAGTCATTTTTTATCTAATGTTCTAATTCAGTATTCATTGCATCATTCAAATTTAAATAATAAAAAATTAAATACAAATCTGATTAAATACAGATTACATATATTTTGGAAATCATTTAATGATTTATAAATTTATACATAAATTTATTATTAAAGAGAAATATTGATTTGTTTAGGTCTCATCTAGTCTTGTCTGAAACTACGTTTACTAATTATTCCGCGATATAAATCTGTAAACAAAATAAGAAAAATGTTATAAACTGTATAAAACATATGCATAATATTTCTTACAAATATTTCTCGGATATATAATTCTTAATTCCAAATCCTTCCCATCTAATGTCTTGTTTCTATAGGCACGTACAGCTTTCAGCGCGTCATAATAACTCTCAAACGTGACATGACCAATGCCTAAAACAAAGTTTTGTATATAGCTAAAAATCGCTTTAATCTATAATATATTATTACCTATACTTATGCCTTCAGAATCGTAATGCAAACCAGCGTCATATATATAACCAAAAGGTGAAAACAATTCTTTAATGTCTCTGTTGGTCACACTATCCGCAAGATTATAGATCATAATCAAACCTGTCCTAGGCTAAAATACAATGAGAAAAAATTGACATTTAAATAAAACTAGAAATGTATGTGACAGGACTTATATTTGATGTCTTTTGTTGATTATAATATACACATTAAATTTATATTTTCAGTTATTTACCTTTTTGAAACCACGTTCGAGAAAGTCATCCCTATAAAAGCGCGTCTTTCGATTAAGATTATATGGTTTACGTTGATAGCGGCGGCGATTAACTCTTAACTTTTTATTCTCCGAAATAATTTCTTCAAGAGTTTTGTATTGAATTCCATTATTTTCTTGAGAAATTATTTCCGTCGAAATTATATGATCGCGTTTTTTTTCAACAATGACTTCGTCCAACTCAATTTCCATCTCTTCCTCCATATTCAGTAATACACACGGAGCTATTATCCAAGCAAACACTCGCAACAACAGTCGAAAAGGAAAAGAAATGTTACGTAGTCACCAGTTGGTAAGTCAAAGTTCACAATAGATTATATCATTTTTTAAGTAATACAAGATATGTAACTCCACACCATCAATCAGTTTGATCAAGCAGCTACACGCATTTTTAAACATGAGGCTGATGTTATTGATTTGATTTGAACTACTTCTAAAACAATGATTGGGAACTGTGTTCAAAGGAAACCTTAGTATTTTACAAAAAAGGAGAATACTATATAAAAATAAATTAAAATGTCTTAAAACTATTATTTCAACTTCAGTTATCCCTATAAGATCTGATCAGAAATTATTTTTACAAATATTTTGTTTGGATGGCGGTTTTCTATATATTTTAAAATCATGTTTCATTATAGCCCATATCAATATCAATTTTGCTATAGATTTAAAGGTTAAATAAATAACAATATAAATATAAAAGATTATACAAATATATCTATACAGAGTTAGGCGATTGGAGTGTTGCCAAATACACAGATATACAGGTATTGAAGATTATACAAATGACAGCTGTTTATATTTACTAGCTACCAGAAACATTAGCGTCTAAATTTTACAATACAAAAGTTATTCGATAATAAAATATTAACGCCTAATAATAAAAAAATTCTAACTTGTCGTTGAAAATTGCTTTATTGTTTCTCGAAGTATTCTCCTTTATCATTAATATACTTCGTTGTATGCTTCGGCGACCATACAGTCCACTGCTGTTTACGTTCCGGCTCATACACATATATCCATTATTCGTTACCTCATACAATCTCATATGAGTATATATCTTTTGTAGGACCACCCGTGTACCTCTTGAGCATTTATGCACCAATCGACACGAGTATTTTTTTAAGACTCTGTCAAATGATGGAGGATCCAATAAGAGCAAACCATTCTCAAATGGTCCAATGATCGTGCAATATTTTATATATGCTTAATATTGTGATTATAGGCCTATTCTTTTGTAAGCAAGTCGCAAAAGAACAAATAAAATAAGCGCTATTTTCGATATCAACTCTGAACAAAACGGAGATTCGGTTAGGCTTGTTTATGCAAAACTCGAAAACTTTTTTTGTCATGATTGTGAACAAAATATAGTTTTTCATGCCCTTTAAGAGTAAAATAATAATTAGGAAAAACGACGTATTTGTTACGATTACTGACAAAACGTAATACGAGTAAATAACGAAATCATTCGTTGATAGTTAACTTAAAATTTCGTTGGTACTGCGAAAAGTCGTTCACAATAGACCAATTTTTAGTTAAGCGATTTCAAAACAGTTGAACTAAACAAGCCAGTAGTGTTGTTGTTTCATATGTTATTTTTAAAATAAGCAGTTGTTCTTTTGTTTTGTGCTTACAAAAGAAAAGGCCTACTATGGATGTCATCCAATATAATAACAACTAATATGCTTTACTTCAATAATTAAATTGAAGTAAAATTTTTAACAAAATTTTGTAATATTTTACGCTTGTCAACTTTTTGCATAACACAAAAGCATTTGTGACTTGATAGGAGCTAAGGGAAGGCAGGCTCATTATCTTACCCAACGTCTTCATGCAGAGAGTACTTGATCTATGGCACTGCTGAATATATTGTAACATTTATTTGCCTTAAAGTGATTTGTTGCCTGTTCCTTGTGCCTCATACCATAACACAGCCTGGGCACAGCCTAAGCAAATAGAATGATATAGCGCATATCAAATCGAGCAACTGTTGCCACTGGAAACATTTATTCCGCATTGCTGCTCATAAAATGCATTTTCATATGATAAATGTTGACATTGATGCATCTTTTGCCAGTGCGGACGTATTGCAATTCGCGCTATAAAAGTAGTTAAAAAACACTTTTTCCCAACCGCATTGCACCCAACGCACTTTCAAGTTTGTTTCAAGGTTAATGTCAAGTCGATTTACGCCTCATTTATATGCAACAAAAGTGGCAGGGAAGTAGTTGCTTCGTCGTAAATATGCTCCGCACTGCAAGTGTACCGACCGCACGGCAGTAAGGTAGGGCCGGCAGTCGCTGTCTGTCATGTCTGTCATGTCAGTCGTAACTGCTGTCAGAATTTGAGTTGTGACTACGACAAGTCGGCGTCGAATTTTTAATCAGACCTCGGTGATAATTACCAGTAACTCCCAGTGCTGGGTTAATTAAGCGCAGGCATGTGTGTGACGCATGTGGTTCGAAATGCTAAGATGCGCGCTTTCGGTTGAACAACATAAAATTTATTATATTTTTAAGCGTCTTCATATATTTAAATAGTTTGTAAATATTTATTAAAATTCATATAAAATAATTTTAAGCATTACTCGCGGCATCAAAATGCTCATAAATAAATACATTTTGATTTATGCTCCACCAAGAATACAAAAGGAAAAAATACTATTCCAAAGGCAACAACTTTGAATTGCTTAATTTTTTTGGCAACATGACTGAACTTAATTTTTTCTATATATTATGCGCAGCCAGTGCGGACAGACATTAAAGTCAGCCACTACCACTTGCTGTTATAGGTAAAAATATTTGAAATCTTTTTTAGCACTCATCTGGATCGGGGCAGCTATTTGTGAATGCAACAGGCTGAAATGTTGAGCAAACCCAATGTCATAAGAGCCAAAAGGCAACTTGTTGTTCACTATTAATTAGCAATGTTATGAGTTTAATGTGTTTTTATATGTGTTCATATATGTTGTGGGCACGTTCACGGGAAGACCAAGACCAGATTGAGGCATGCTCAACACAATGTTGCCGAACAATGCAAAGTTTACACTATCAGCAACGGCAACGTTGCAAGGAAAATGACTTCTAGTGGCTTTTCTCTTCGGTCTTTTAAATGGAATAGCGACATTAATTACCAATAACAGCTGAAGGTACAAGTGTTTAATACTGAAAGCTGCAGAAAAATGCTCGTAAACAGGATAGACATAGCCAAGAATAACTATAAAAATAGCTTAATGGTTTGTCCGTCTCAATGAACCGCCAACGTATGTTAAATGTTAAGCTATTCCGTGTTTTCTGCAGTATCCACTCATAGGAATTTCTCATTTCAAATAGCATTGATTGTTCGGAAAAAGGTTCGCCTTTTAGTTATAGGTGTTTTTAAAAATTTTAATTGAAATTATTAATAACAAATTCACTTCCGTTTGTTATAGTAATATTTTTATAAATTAAAAAAGAAAAAAGAAAAAAGTTGAATAGTTGAAGATATAAAATAGGTAATAACATGTTTCTACAGGTCTCATTTAAGTAGTTTTGTTTATTAAGGCCGCCAATAAATATATTGCACCACACAAAGAGCTTTCATATAAAAATGTGCTCATTATCAATAAACCAACTCATTTAAGGCGAAAATTGTCGCGTGCAAATAAATTTCCCACAAGGGAAATTACCAAAATTTGAAATATTTGTCATGTGTTTAATATGTAAAATATAAACAAACAACAGCTGAGCCGCAAACATAGGCACTGAAGAAGTCAGTATTTAAAGAAATCTCTGTTTTTATTAATTGA